TTAGCCTTTAGAAGTCGATCATCGTTGTAGCTTCTTCCTGGGGCCCTAAACCCTATAAACCATAAACCCTAAACTGCCTTGGGAAGTATGGCAACTGAGGGATTCGGGGGCTCAGAAGCTTTTGGGTCCCCTTTGCCAGCATTTATCTGAATTGCTGTTAAGGAACTTACTTTAAGTTACTATATTGGGGAAACAATATTAATTACTAGATATACCCATTACGGGAACTTAATTTAAGTTCCTTAACAGAAGCCCGGTTATGGCAGAAATTCCAGCAATAAACTCCAATTATGAGACCCAGACTAATCCAAAACTTGCTTTTTGCACAGCATCTCAGGATTCAAAGGGCTGCAGTCTTATTCCCAGTAAAGGGTCCCGTTCAAGCCATTTTTGCGAGATATATAGGGCTACAGAAGGATACATATAGGAGATGTGGGGGATTGGAAAAGAAAATGAAAATTACTATGCTATATTGGTCTTATATGGGGATAATCGGAAAGAACATGAAAACTATCAGAATTATTAGGATTCGAGTTTCGGGCCTCGCTAATGTACAGCCCCCGTACGCCCAACCCCTAATACTCCCTAATATACAAATGATACTATGTCAGGTTCATTATTTGGAGGGCTTGGAGGGTTAATATTGGGGGAAGTGACCAGGCTTGACAGTTGGTTAATGTGCTGTAAAGCTTTCTCAGGAATGCTAAGAGGCTGTTTGGAGCCCCTTCCCTGAACCCTAAACCCTAGGAGGCAGGTGATAGTTGTAGAGCTCTTCTTTTGAGAGTTCAGGGAACCCAAATTCCGTATCAACCAGAGTAAGTACCTCCTTTGGGCTAGCTGGATCCCATATAGGGCCAGCCTTTTTCAAGTGCGATTTGTTGCTTTTATAGATCTGTGTAAGCAATCAAAAAATACCCAACCCTAAAGAGATCCGCGCCCTAAATACCAAAGAACACCAAGCTCTAAAGCTCCAAGCCCTGCAGCCCTTATGCCTTAAGGTCGCCCACACCTGTACGTTTCCCCGACTTAAAGAACCCCGAACCGTAAACCCCAAATGACCCCTCAACCTAATACCCTGAAGAAAACAACACCTTAACCTCCTTAAACCTCAAAGAACCGCGAGCCCTTCATTCGGGCTGCGACCCCCGCAACCGCACGGTTTTAGGGTCTAAGGTCTAAGTGATCCCATATCCTGTCTTCTTCGTAAATCCACAACAAATGCCACATTCCTTGATGGTTTGCACATGGGGTGTTCAACAAGTGTATGCAGGGATTAGAGCTCTTATTATTGTGTTGGGGACTCCCAAACTAACATGGAAGCCCACAAAGGGCACGACAAACACCGATAGCCTGTAAATATGGGACCACATCAGCGTCCATGTTTGTTTGGGAGGAGGTAAAATCTTGAAGTTTTAAACCCAAACCCTAAACCCTGATATACACTCCTGCATACTGCCTATACAAAGCTTAAACCCTAAACTCTAAATACCCCTGTTAGGGGTAGGGTTCACTCTTAAACCAATTTGCGCGTATCCTATCCTCTGGACTGGTTGACTTGGCCCGGAGATCCTCATTTCGGAGTTGGGACAAGACCTGCAGGGTGAGGGGGACTATAATGAAGCATGAAGTGGAAGAGAACATAGAACACGAAATGTTGACCCCTGAGCCCAAAACCCTACAAACTCGAGGTTGATAAGGATTTAGGTTCCAGGGTTTCCTTGGAGGGTTAGGGGTGCTTAGTGAGTAGGTTCAGAACAGAGACTATTGGGGCGATGCTGTTGCTTGTGGGGGGTATAGGCAAGAGATAGGGTTTATCATAGCTCAGTAGCCCTAAACCCTAAACCCTGTTAGTTATGCTAGGATTTGCCAAGTCCGCCTGAGCCTCCTTAGGATATATGAGCTATAGTCTAAGCTCCTAGTGTCCCCCTTATTAAGCGATATAATACTCCCCCATATAAGCCCCCTTAAGGGTAACAAATACTAAACTGTAGGTAGGGGGTTAAGGGTACTGCAGCATTTAGAGCAAATCCTCAAAACTCTAACACGTGTCTGGAGGGGTTCATGGAGAGTTTGAGCTCCGGGTATATGATTGCGTGCATTAGGTTGCTGTTAAAAAACTATCTAAGTTACAATAATAAGGACACCCCTTGATTTATTATGTATCCATAATGACTATATATACCCATATTATGACAACTTGGTCTAATTTCCGTATGCAGAAACCCAGTATAGACATTTAGTCCTGTTTTCGGCGTGCCTATGCTGAGGCCTTATTACATTTCACGGGATGCAGCACAGCGATCTTAATTTCGGCAATTGCCTTCTTGCTTACGCTTGCAAGGAACCCTTAACCCTAAAACTTGGCTGCAGCGTTTTCTGAAGGCTCAGTTTAATGATTCGGACAACTCCATGAAATTGATTCGCGCCGCTCATGTAGGCAAATGCAACCATGGCGGCCGAGAGTTTAGAGATTCTGGATGGCAGTTGAGTAGTATCAATATTCGGGACCCCTAAACCCTAAACCCCTAAACCCCTAAACCACCCTTATATAGGGACCCTAAGAATATGGGGATGAGGCCTTATTAAAGTCTTGTAGGGGCAGGGTGTTTCGAAAAGCCTGCAGATTTGGTTTATACCCTAAGGGTCCAAGGACCCAAATAAAAGGGCCCCTTTAAAGGGGTTCTAGGGGGATATATAGGGATATTAGGGGACTATATAGGGGTGTATAGGACCCCAAAATGATAGGGTTTTAGGGCCCAAATACCATTAATATTGTAGTATTTGGGCTCTAAAACCCTATTGTTTGGGTCCTTGGACCCTTAGGGATAGTGGACAATGGGAGTCTCGTAGAGTTGTGATGCTTTCCTGCGTGAGGCCGTGCTGCCAAAACTCCTGCAACATGTCCCGCCAAACCCCAAGCTTATGCTTCCCTACAAAACGTGTCTCTTTGGTAACCCCAAGCGACCCCAATTGCAGCCCTACAACAGTCGTACGATAGCTGCAGGATCCATGTTATGAAAGTTCGGGTTGCCAAACACTGCCTAGGCTTTAGGGTTTATTTTTCTAGGTAAAATAATAGCCCAGCCACCCTTAAACATACCCCAAGAGCCATGGTTTTGTATACCTTTGGGGTTCATGTAGGGGTCTACATACTTGTATGGGACATAATTATGCCTCGACATGGTAGGGTTCCTATCATGTATAGAAAAATGGCAAAGAATCTGTTGGCTTTTATGGCAGGATTGTAGAAAGTTCAGGGGGCTTGCTGAGGGGTTCCTAGAGGGTTTATAAAATTTGTAAAGGTTTTGCAGAGTTTTCTTTGAGGGTTAGAACGGATTTCCGCATTGTTGGAAAGGTTTACAGAGGGTTCAGCTCTTATAGAAGGTTTTTCAAATGGTTGAAATTTGGAAGTTTTCTGATAGTTTTTGGGAGGTCCCCGCGGTCCTGTGACTGTGGCAAGTGATCGGGGTCCTGCGGTGAGGTCTTATAAAGTTTTTTTTTTCTGAGGTGTAGAGGGGTGGTATGGAGAGTGCATGGTTCGTTGTTTTCATGGTCTCATAGATATGGCTTCATACACAGGTGACGACCATACCAGGGAGGATTCTGGGAAAGCAGAGCGGGGACGCATATACAGCCCAAACCGCAAGCCCCTGAATTCTCCTCTCCTATCAATATCCCAGGGTCTCATTGGATGTCCCAGTGGAACGTGAGCCTATCCAACGAGCAGAGCCCACAGCTTCAGTTGGAAGTAGCCAAGAGGAATCTTGGCGTGTTGTTCAGTGTTGGGATGTTTCAGATTCAGGGTTCAGGGTCTAGGGTTTATGGTGCAGGGTTTAGGCTCTAGGGTTCAGGTTTTAGGGCTTAGGTTCAGGGTCTAGGGTTGAGGGTTTAAGGTTTGGGGTTAAGGGTTGGATTTGTGCAAATTGCTGTTTGGCTTGAAAACTGTGATCCGCCGGTTTAGTTCCCAGGTACTAGGAGAAACCACAAACCGCTAAACCTTAAACCCCCAGCGCGAACCCCAATTTTTTGCTGCGCCCTAAATCCTAAATCCTAAACCCTATATACCTCTATAGTATCCCCTATATACCCCCTGTAGAACCTTTTTTAAAGGCACCCAACTCTTCTTTGTGTCAGCCCACGGGCTTCAGGCGGGACCCAATAGTCGGACCCGAAATTAATGTCAACAGAAACTCTAAGGGTACCCCCTACACCCTAAAACCGCCTACCCCTCATAGATAGGTACTCTTCTGCCTTATAAGGACTCGCCAAGCCCTAAACCCAAAGCCCTAAGATTCAACCTGAGGGTCTACCCCAAGAAACCCCAAACCTTACCCCAAATGTGCTTCCCAAAACAAGGGGTGCCTTTTTTGGGGGGGTTCGTGTAATGCAGATTGTAATATTTTTGCATGGGGTCTATATTAGCGTCCCTCGATTTTGGGAAACTACCAAATCCCTATAAATCCAAAGCCCTATTAACCCTAAGTTCCTTGAATCAGGAAGGCGTGCGCCACGAGCGGCCAGCCGAAGACACCATGGGTGAGCTTGCGGACTTCTGCTTGGTGAGATTGATTGCTACCTGTGTTCCCAATAGTAGCGGTATAGGGCTTAGGGATAACGGTAATGGAAGGTAAGCAATGGTAATACCAATAGTGGTAGTAACAGACATTTGTAGTTTTCTTTTTTAAATCCTACAACGTTCCCTGTATAACCACCCAATACCAAAACCCTGAACCCTAAACCATCTTTGTCCTTGTGACTTTTTTGGGGGGGGGCACAGTAATCTCTAAACCCTAGACTCTACTGCCATCAACCTCAGCCTAGCTCCACAGGGTTTAGGGTTTAGGGCTGACCAGCAACCTTTAGAGTTTGGGGCTTCGGGTTTTCTTGGCTGAAGGACGGTTGCTTCTTGGAAGTCATCCCGAGCAAGCTTTGCGTTTGGTGATCTCCCAGGTCTAGGGTTTGGGGTCTAGGGTACCCTAAACCCCTTCCAACTCTAGGCCATGAAGGCCACAAGACCTGAAGTTATTCGCGGAATACCCGCGCCTCTGCCATTGTTGAGCAAAGTTTAGTTTAGGGTTTAGGGTTTAAGCATTGTCGATGACTGCTTGCACAGAATCACTTCTACTTAACAGTAACATGTCACAGAGACGTGGACAAATATTCCCTCAAAGAGAGCACATATAACACCACTAATAGTATAGTATTCATCATAAATAGAACAGTACTATAATGCTAACAATAATACAAAACAAGAAGAGAGGCGGGCGCTAAACTCTGAGGCCGTAAGCCGTACAGGAGGAAGAAATTCAGGACCAGGGGCAGAAACCTTACGTAAGAGTCCAAGGACCCAAAGAATAGGGTTTTAGGGCCCAAATATTACAATATGAATGGTATTTGGGCCCTAAAGCACTGTTATTTTGGGGTTGTATATACCCCTATATAGTCCCCTGATAGCCCTATATATCCCCCTAGAACCCCCTTTAAAGGGACCCTTTGATTTGGGTCCTGGGACCTTCAGGGAAACCTAATCGTCAAGCCCTAAACCCTAAACCGTTAGCTTTGATTCGAGGTGTTCTGGGCCTTGGAAGTACTTCGGTCAGCTTGGCTTCGACGTGACTTTCGCCGGTACTACAGCGTTTCCCAGGTCAGGATGCGAGCTACTGTACTTGGAGGTTCAACTGGGCTTATAAGCCTACTTATAATTGGGGCAACCCCTATAAGGTTATTTAGGGGGTTTATAGGTAGGGTTATAAGCCCAGTTACAAGTAGTTACTAAGTCCCATGAACCTCCAAGTAGGGTTTAGGGTTTGCGGTTCAGGGATCCCAACACTTCCCAGGTACCTCAATACTAGGCTACTGGGCTATGTACCTGTAGGGTATATAGATCCTAGAACCCATTATTTAGGAAACTGTAGGAGCCCTAGAGAAATTTAGTCTTACAGAAATCCTGATAGGCACCCATGTCCATTATTTATACCGGTCAATCGGTCAATATAGACTGTAGCTCATGTGCCAAAATCGATATGGTAGCTTCCCCGAATAAGGGGGCCCCAATACAGACCCCAACATATTGTAATCCTTATTAGGACCCCGAAAAGGGCCCCCGAATCTTAGGACCCCCCCCCCCATATAGCTGGGGGTTAGTGTTGCTTTTCAACAGACGGTGGGTGGAGGAAATCTTGCGCCAGTAAGGATCCCCGAATATGCTGTTTTGTTGGGGCATAGGCCATAACAGGTGGTGCAAGCAAGATCTCCTCACTCCACAGTAGGGGTTGAGGTTAGAACCCTAAGCCCTTGGGTTGAGGGTTGTTTGGGTTATCTGGTTTTCAGGTGGGTTAGGATCTAAGCGGGGCCTCTGTTCGGTCCCCTTCTCATCCAGGTACCTAACTTACACTCTCCCCAGTCTGATGAACTGCCAATGTTATGATGTAGCAAGATGTAGGTACTACCAGTCCTCAAAATTAGGATCCTAGTGAAGCAGGCCTTCTCAGGGTGTAGAGCGTTGGAGTTTGCATTTGGCTGGCCTGATTCAAGGGCTGTTGTCAAATTTAGGACTTTGGTTTTAAGCCCCCCCCCCCCCTGCGCCGCCATGCTAGGAGTAGTATTGAGAGCTTCCGGAAATTGGACAATAACTTTTTTTGCGGGCCAGAATTCGCTGGAGTTGTAGGGTTGAGGTTCAGGATCAGAGTCCTTACTGAAGTACCTGTGATCATGCAGCATTTGCCTGTATACTAAACAGGATCCGTATGGTAGCCGATCAAAACCCTAGACCCGAAACCCTATGTACCCAATTATAGTAGTGTCCATTTCCATTATCCAAATATAATCCAAATACTGTATTATAGTAGGTAACTTCCCAAAATGGTCAGGCTAAAAAATGAATTACCATAGTTTCTTCTTCTAGACTTACAGGAGCCCGAAATGATTTTCCCAATGGATTTTAGGGTTTAGGGTTTAGCGTCATCCGTATAAGCCTTACCCCAGAAGTAAGCCTTAGAGCCTTAAACCTTAGATCTTAACATCTGGGCACTTTGGCTTTGTCACAATAAGAGTCCTGGTATGACACCGAAGACGTTATATGATAGTTGCACGCCGATCAGTGCGACCGTCACAACGGGGGCTATGATTTTGCACCACTGCCATGTTAATGTGGGCTTGTCGCCTATAGCCATAGAGCGTGATGTACAAACCTGATTATTTACCACGGGCAATCCTTATATTGTTTTCTCATCATCCAGGCTTCCTACGTAAAACCCCTATGAAGCCTTTAGGTCATCCTAGTGTTAATTTCATTGTCCATGTGATTCTCTTGTTTCATGTAAGGCTAAACCTGCAAAACCTGGCCAACTTATATTTCGTGCCACGGTTCCCTAAAAACTAAACCCCAACCCTACGTCTGGGATAAGAGGATGCGGATGTTTCAACTTGGGCTTCAACCTGAAGTCTGAATCCTATAAACACTGTAATAAACCCTACTAACCCTGAAGTTTAGGGGTTTAGGGGTTTAGGGTATAGGGTCCTTACAGACCTTGGACCCTACATCTTCCCAAAGACCCGATAGTCTTCGATCCCGAAATAAAGGGCATCTGGCATCTATGAAAGTATTATGGGTATTCGTAAGGTCTGTGAACTTTAGACAGTAAAAACTCTACAAACCCTAAGCCTCAGAGACCCTAAGCCCCGAACTCTGCAACTAATCCCCTAGCCTCATAATGAACCCCCCGAGTCCCTAATGATGAATACCTCTCAACACACTACATTAGGGTGAATGTGAACTCTTGTGGGATACTTCGAAGCTCTAAATTGCAACTGTTTTAGGTGGCTGAGGAGCTCGACGAGTTTTGGTCTCATAGCTGGAAGACTCCCGCTTTGCTCAAGTACTCGTGTGTACCTCGTCGAGGAGTCCAGGGAAGTTTCGAGTCACGCGGTTTGGGGTTGAGGGTTTAGGGCTCAGGGGGTAAGGTTTTTACCCTAAACCCTATAAAACACCAAAACAGCGTTTATGGAGTTTGTAGCGCTCAGAGGGTTTATAGGCTTTAGGGCAGTGGGCTTCGGGTGCAGGGGGCGCTTCAAGTGCTGTTTTTGCACTAAAATAATGTCCTTAATCCTAAGGCTCCATGTAGGTACTGTTTAACGACTCTTGGGCCCAGTGTAGGTCATATTGATCGACTTGCCTTCTCGGGAGAAGGTTAATCCTTCCAACCTCAAAATAGCCGGACAGCTCCTAAACCCTGATCCCTAAACCCTAAACCCTTAAGGTACTCTACTTGAACAATGGTTTGCCAGCGCTCCTGATCGGAATGCTCTGCTCTGGGGTAGCCGCCGTCCTCTATGTTGCCGGTGTCCTTCCGGCATGGGCTGATTTTCGTGCCTCGGTAGGGTTCAGGGTTTCTGGGTTAGGGTTTAGGATTTAGGGTGCCAATAGTAGAGCTTTAGCTTTTTTGGGCTTCCTTAACTTGGTTTTTAGAATGCAAGCCGAACTCATCTTGCCTTGGTTGTTAGGGTAGATATTGATTCCACTCCGAACCCCTCTTATACTGCTGCCCGCAAGGTTTTCCATTCATAAATTAGCCTTGATTTGCCCTCATGATCTTTGCACTAGCCTAGTTAAGGGGAAAGCCGGAAAAGCTTCGGGGCGGCAGTACAGGGGGGGTGGTGGAGTTGAGGGTTTAGCGTTTAGGGCTTGGACCCATGAGTAGAGAGGTTACGAATTTGAATGTTTCTGGTGCACACCTGCTGGGCTCATTGGCTTCTATGCTGGTCTCCTACTATGGGGGAAGCGAAAGCTGGTGTCTGAGCTGCGGTTAAGGTTTTAAGGCGTAAAGTTTCCATAGCTAACATTGAGATTTGGTTTTATGTAGATTTTCTATAGGGGTCGAGAGCTTAGGGTTGAGAATGGAAAATGGATATACAGGAAACGCTGTCTTTCCCTGATAACGGTAACTTAGTCTAAGCTCCTTGACAGCAACCCAGGTTTTCCTGGATGCTGCGTGCATAGACCAAAGCAATTCTGTTCGCAAAGCCGAAGGCCTGATCAGCATGGGCGCCTTCCTGAAAAGCTCCAAGCGCATGCTAGTTCTTTGGGATGCGTCGTTCATAACTCGCTTGCGGCTGGGTTGCTGTTAAGGAGCTTCCATGAAGTTACTACAATGAGGAAACCCTTCTACTGAATCAATAAGTAAGTATAGATATAAGTAAATAAATACATTTATATATCCATACAGCAGTAAGTTAGTTTAAGTTCCTCAGCAGCAACCTAGGTGGTGTATCTTCGAGTTAGCAGCTTTCATGCATTGTCAAAAAGGACAGAAGTCAGACCTTGTGATCTGCCCCTGGGTGTCCCAGCGATCCTGTTTTCGCCTTCTTGGGTTCCTACTGTGGGTTGTTTTTTTATGAAGAGGAAGCCGTTTCTTGCGTAGCTTGCCAGTGATCTCAGGCCCAGTTTCTATCGGCTCGGTGTTCCTGGCGGCGCATTTAGGTTTCAGTCTCCTTCTTCTGTCATATCTTTTCTCACCCTCCTTCTTGGAGTGGCACCCATACGGTGCGCTGCTTTTTTCTGCAGTCGCCATCCCAAGCTTCGTGATGCTTTCGTATACAACTCTGATGCACTGCCGAAGCATTGACAAAGTGCATCATCAAGCCGGCAGCTTTGTCCTTGAGGACTGCTCAAAGACCCTATGTTTAGGGTTTAGGGTTTCCCTAACACCCTAAACCCCGAGCCCCAAGCCCTGAAAACTAAACCTTAAACCTTCACCCGACCTTGCCCCAACAAGCAGGTCATATGGAAGCATTCCCCAAAGCGGGCTTTGTCTCAAAGATTGTTGGGTAGGACCCAAGCTTGATAGCAATACATGTGCGGTTCTCAAAATTCTGGGGCCATTTTGGGCACCTTCACTATTGGGGCCCGCGTTGTGATGGGATCGTAGTTTGGACAACAAACCATATATAACCCCACAGACCCTCCATATGAGGTCCTGTTGTCCCTTCTAATTAAGATTCTAAGGGTTCCCCAAACCTAGGATTCAACCCAAAATCCCTTGATTCTGTGGCTTAGGGTTTTGGGTTGAGGGGATTCAGAGTGGGGGTGTAGGATTTTAGGGTTTAGGGAT